AGGAGTAACAGCCAACTGGATGTAGAAATGAAAAAGAACATCACAAGGCTACACTGGAGCCATGTTTCTCAGGTAAGTGACTAAAGCTAGGAAATAAGTTATTCTGACCTTTCATAGATGTTAAGTGGTGGACTTCCATCCTTTGACCCTCACTGTGCACTCAGCAAAGTGTGTGTCCTGTGTGTCCTGCTGGTGGCCCTATTTTTATTTTTATTTTTTTATTTTTTAGGGAAAGGTCTACAAGGTATTCAGGGTCTCACTACTAGATTGGACATGTTGTGATTCTCCTGTTTACAGCCTCCCAAGTTCTGGGATTACAGGCGCACGCCACCAAGCCCAATCTATTTTTAATTTAAAAAAGATATTAAAAGAAAGAACATGTCCTTGTTGATCTTATTCTTCTGAAGGATGGGGTTAATGAGTAAAGGATAGAGTTGTGGCTAGCCAAAGTGTGGTCTGGGTGTCATGAGGAAAGGATTGTAAAAACCTGCTTTAAAAAAAAAATTTGGAATTTGTCTTCAAGTTTGTATGACTGAAGTTGTAAAGTTCTCTATTAGCTCTAATCAGAGAGACCCTGAAAAGACTGAAGGAAAAGAAGTGAACCAGGGGAAGAAGAAAGCTTCAGATTCTGCAGCTCCTCTACCAAGGAGACAGCTGCGTGATTTCATTAATTTGTGCCTGTGTATGTGTGTGTGTGAGAGAGACATATCCTTTCAGGGAAGAGCCAGTGGTGAGGTTATTTACATGCATGGTGTTAGTACTTAAATAACTCAGGACAACTTACTGTTAGAAGGTACAAATGGCTCATTTCTAAAGCAATGAAACACTTTGATACTCGAGTGTTAAAGGATAACTTAAGACTCCAGTGCTCACAATATTTTCATGTTTAGAGGATGATGATTTTGTACATTTTGGAGGTAATGTTTTATTTTTACATTTAGTAGCAGCCATTCAGTTGTTTTCCAGTTGACAACTGGCATACTAATATGCAGTAAATTATATACTTTTAGTGTATACAACAAGACAACAATGGAAATTCTTCAAATCTAAAATTTTGCTTTATGCTTTGTACTCATTTTTACTGAAATACTTGTCTAGCTTGAAGTCTTCTTTTTATTTTTTTTGGTATCAGTAATTGAATTCGGGGCCTCATGTTGGGCAGGCAGGCGCTGTGCTGCTGCGCTGTATCCCCGGCCCCAGCCTGCAGTCTTTTGGAGAAATAGCTACATTTCTTTTTCCACATGGGTCCTGTGTATTTATGCCACACACACACACACACACACACACACACACACACACACACACACACATGCTTGCACTTCATAACCTTATTTATAGTTTCCGTAGGGGCTCAGGAATGAGTGAAAATAAAGGTGTGTGCTTAACTCCTATTTGTTTTTGAATTTTATAGTGTTGATCTTTTCCATTATGATTTTTTTCATTTATGTGTTTGGTACAGGTTGTCACTATGCAGCTTGGACTCGTAGTGATCCTCCTGTTTTCAGCCTCCCCAGTGCTGCGATCACAGGCATGCACCACCACACCTGGACTTGGTTGCACGGCTCAGTGCACCCTCGGGTGGGGCTGGCATGGCATGAGGGACCCAGGATCGAACCCTTATGATTTGGTTTTATATTGTATTTAAGAAATTATTTGGGCTGGGGAGATAGCTCAGTAGAATAAGTGCTTGCCTGGCAAGCACAGGGTCCTGAATTCAATCCCTAGTACTGCAAAAACAAACAAACAAACAAACAAAAAAAGAAACTATTTGTTACATCATTTTATAAACACATTAATCTATGTTGTCTTCCGTTACATGTGTTTAAATATTAGGTTTTCTATTTACCTCATGTGAGGAAGCTATGATAATGTCAAGATAAATATATATCTTTAAAGGGAAGAACCATTAAAATCTTTAAGAAAAATAAAAAGCTGGGTAAAAAGAAATAAGCTTATTAATTATTTGGTTCTGCAGTGAACAGCATTTATGTAGTTCATAATAATGCAAGCTCATCATAACCTAAATATAGTGCTCTTGATCACTGTGTTTAGAGGATGGAGTGATAGGAGAGAGCGGTTTGTAAGACAGCTGAATC